TGATACATGACTGATGAGGCAGATTTTTTTCCTGCAGTAGTTTGCCATTTCTTTCTGCAGTAGACCATCCAAGGTTATAGAACCCAGTCTATCCTGCTATTTACCCATAGCTGGAGGGAGAAGACAAGGATTCATACCTTTCCCAAGAGTATTAACATGTAAGTGAATGTAATGGATTCAACTGGAATTCAAACTCGGCTCTCTGATTCTTCAATACAGGCCACAATCCATCACTCAACTGTCCCTCCTAGGGTTTTTAAATTGAGTTGAAATTAGTTCCATCAATCATTGCTTAACTTGAATTTGAATTCTAGCAAGAATACTTCAGAAGATTTTGCCTTTCAAATTGAGTAATGAAATTGGTTGAAAATGTTTATTTTGTTTTAAGAATTGTTCTTGTACAAATCTTCCAGAGGAGTTATAAAGTCTGTTAATTCCTTACATAATTTTTAGCTTTTGCTTTGCAGAACATGTTTTGTAAGATTTTATGGTTGAAGTGTGAAAATGTATTTTTAATCAATGAAGTTTCTTCAAGCTAGTGAAATAACTTCAAGGAACATCATTTTTTGAATCAGTGTATGTTTTGTACTTACAGAATTTCTTTCTATATTTTGAAGAATGAAGCAATTCTTAGTTGAATTTATATAGATGCTTACTGAAAATGTTTCACCTCTCTTTATCTGTTCCTCCTTTGTGATCTCACTTTATGAAATGAGGGTTTTCTTGTATGTGCTCTAGTTGTTCACTTATAATGGTTTTTAGTGAGCCTCTGTTCAACTCTCTGTGCTCCTTTTTTTTTTTTTTTGCCTCCTGTTGGTTGTCTTGCTGGTAATTTCCTTTCTTTGGTACCAAAATCCTTAAGACACACTGAAGGAACATAACTTCTCCATGATAAATTTTCTCAAGCTATGCTGCAAAATAAGACACTTCTTGATTAATTATCTTCAACTACTACATTTGTTCTTAGCCTCCTTATACTAACTTTATTGTTTTGTTTTTGAAAATATATATACAGGGATTTATGCGCTCCACTATTTTTGGAGCTGCTCCCATACCCAAAATTGGAGTTGGCTTCCCTCACACTCCTCGTTTTCAAAAAGGAGCTGCTCCAAATCTTTTTCAGCATTCCATAGTTAAAATGTACCTTCTTTCATAAACGTTGGGCATTTTTGCAATTAATAAGCTGGGTATGAGATATTTCAGTATTCAAATTTAATAAGAACCAACATTTAATCTGTCAGCATAACCTTTACCCATAAAAACATACCAAAGTTCCTCCAAGGCTGAATTTGTGAAATAATTCACACATTTCTGGATATTTGGCCAATTCCTCAATTGTTGCAATTCTAGCACTTGTATATTGCTTCAAAATGTCTGCATTTGTGTTTTCTGTTTTTTTGGACACTTGGAAAGAAGTCATCCTTAGACTCCTCATTGTTACTTGACCTGAAAATTGTTCCTTTTCAGGCTGGACAGTTCTTTCAAGATATATGTCTTAGTTTCTTGGACATTTATCCAGTCCAAGCTTTTGAATTGCTGGATTAGAAATGTGGAGCAAATCTTTTATTTAAATTTAACGTAGATAAATTGATTTTACTTATTTAAAAAATATTTAAAAATATTAGAGGAGGTTTTAGCTCCTGATATTGTTGCAGTGATGCCCGGAAAACATTTGGCATAAAAGTTCAATTTTATGAATTTAGAAAAATTTGGTAAAGGAAAATTTGGTAATGGAAGATTCGGTAATTTTGACAAGGTAACTATCAAATAAAAGTCAATTGAAAATTTGATTTTACGGCCATTCTAGTGTTGGAATTTGGGGGGCTAAGTCCCCCTCCTCTATATTTTTATATAACTAAGAATCGTGGGATCCAGATAAAACCCCACTGCAACAATAGCAGTGCTATACTTGCAGAAGGGAGTGCTTAGGAGCCTAGGCCTGCTTCCCCAATATTTTTTTTAAAAAGTATTATTACCTATGGGGTCGTGTAGAAAAACCCCACTGCAACAATATCAGGGCCATAACATCTGAATTGGGGATTTAGGGGGCTAATTTATATACGTTAAAAAGTAAATTAGAATTTTATTTCAGGACAAAAAGTATCATTTCAGATCAAGAATCAATTTTATTCAACATTTGAATGAATATCGAGGGAAATAGGCAAAATAATTCAATGGAAGTTAATAACACCTGTGAAGATTTCATTTATTTTTTAATAATTTTCTTTAAATAATAATAATGGCAAAATTGTGTACAAAAGTAAATTATCAGTAAATTAAAAAGAAAACATTAGTTTATTTATTCATTCAGCAACGAAAATTTGTCATAAAAACAAAAAAAAGTTCTAACCTTTCTGTCCCCACACCAGTATCTACAGACAGCTTTTATACTCTCTCTCTCTCTCTCTCTCCAACACTCACACATACATACATATCTAATAAAAAATGATCTCAAAGACTTTCTATGAGTGACTGACTCTTTTGAAGACATTTTTATCTGACTGTCTTGCAACTTAAAAGAAATGTCCCGGACATCAGAATGGTAATATCTAGGTGTTAAAGTCACTTGCCTCTTTACCAAAACCCGGGTAGAAGTTGAAATAGTTCCCATTTTCATGTGTAACTAACACACACACATATACAATCTCACTCTCTCTCATACATTTACCACAGATATTATAATAAAAATAACTCAAAGAATTTAGCTCAGATTTCCTTTCTTTTTTTTTATTGTTGAATACAAACTAATGTTTACAAAAAATTCAAATAATTTTGGAGCTAGGAGTGCCCATTCAGCCCCCCCCCACCTCCAGCTCTTTAATCTCAAACAGAGCTGCTCATGCTCCACTCCAGCTGAATGTAAAATGAGTCCTCTTCTCCTTTGCTCTAGTAAAAAGGCACGTGCTCCCTTTTTGGAGGGCTCCATAAATCCCTGTATGGTGCCTTGGAATGACAAGCAAAAGGATTTTGTGAACTGCAATATTAATTCTAGTAATGTTTCTTTTTCCATCTCAGTAGAAAAGTTATGCTATTGTCAACCCAGACATGCCATTTTTGTTCAAATGGGTTTGTTACAAGTTTCTGTTGAATTCTCTCTTACTTTTTAGGACAGAACCATTTCATATTGTTTTTCTACATATGTAATCGGACTTATGGATCATTTTATACATTTGTTACACTTCAAAATTAATAACTTCTGCTGCTTCCAAACTCCAATACTGCAGGTGTTATTAATAATAATAATATAGGATCTGTGATTTTGCAAGCATCATACTACTGTAAATGGATTAGTGAATTAATTCTTTTTTCATCATCACAAATATCTGGTGACTGTATATATGATAGTTAAGAAACTTCTACCATCTTTTGCCTAGATTTAAATCAATTTCTATTTAATGAGTTTTATCTTTTGAATTTTCAGAATAAGTAGTTCTCAGTTTAAACCTTTCTTGCTAATCTAAACTTAATCTGCTACAATAATCATGTCATTTAATTGCTAATGTTGCTGATATTTTCATTACACACATTGCTTGGAAATTGTCTAGTGATGTTCCGGTGAATTTCTGAGATGATGAGTTATCATTATTTACAAGTGGACTATTCTCCTCATCTTTGTTATTCGTATTATCACTTTTTTTTTTTTTTTTTACTTCATTTGGTGTTTGTTGATCTGGGTAATCTTCAGAAAATTTCAAAATGAACCCTTTATTTAGCCTATGTATAACTTGGAGCTTTAAACCTAATTTGACTTCTGGAGGAATATCACATAATTAGGAGTGAGAATGAAATCTCACATAGTCAGATCATGTAAGCATGCCTACTTTTTTTTTTTTTTTTTTTTTTTTTTTAATATATATATTTTGTGTAATTTATAGGCATAGAGTATAAAAGAAATGTATTTAATCATATAAACCATTTGCATAAACTATGAATATAGAAAATAAACTGAACTTACTGATTTCAAATGCAGTGCAACTATTAGTTGAATTATAAATTTTATTGATATATTTATTTATAATTATTTATTTTGAACTTTTTTTATTTGATATTTAGGAATAGATATTCTCAGCATTTTATTGAATGAACCATTTATTTATTTGTTTATTTTTTTGTTTTGGTCACTGTTGTTCTTTTGCTGTTGCAACAACTTGACTAATTGATACATTATATGGAGTATTAACTCCTGTAAAAATTCTCCAGAAAATATGCACATAAATTACTAGAAAATATAAGAAAGTGAAACTAGCAAAAGGAAACTCCATTTAATGGAGGGTTTCAAAATAACTGTATTGAAAGACATCTGGTTACCCTTCAACACTCCACAATGAATTTAAAAAAAAAAAAAAAAATTCTATTTTTTATTTATTTTTTTTTTTTGGTTATTTTGCCTAATCGTATGGTGTCATTGCCCTCCTCTCTCTTTTTGGCAGGTGGCACTTTTGAGAAAATATGGTATTTAGCATAGAAAAATCTTTGGAATATGATAAATGAGCGAGCTGTAATTTTTTACCAAAATTTTTGTGCATTTATGATTGTAGATAAACAAAAATACAGTTGAAACTTTGGATGTAAGGGTGGTAAATGGCTTTTGTATTAATAAATTTTAATGTAAATTTTATGTGTGGATTTTTTTGTACTCTTGTGAAGAAATGCATTCACAGTTTATTAAATTTATAAACATTTGATCTATAAAAGAATGAAGTTTTTTGTGCATTTAGAGCAATATATTTTGCTGTTCATTTTGCATGATTAAATGTTTTAAGATTTTCATGTGAATACACCAAGAATATGATTCACCTAATCTGCAGGTTTATAGACTATTTAGCTGCTTATAAAAATCATTATATTTAAAACTGTTGCCAACAATGTAAGAGATGCTAAGCAATCTTTATAATCTTTATTTATAATGTGGGTTGATCTTCATAGGCTGCTAGAGTGGAATAAATAATTGTTCACGGCATGTAGATTTTTCTTATGACTCTTAACATTTTCTGATACAGATGTTTTTAAACAGAAGGGAGAAGACCAATGCATTCTTATACATTCTAACAGGTAAGTCACTTTATTTTAATGTACATATTTAGTTTATTTTTAAAGCTTGTAGTTTATACTCAAGAATTTTGATAGAGGATGAGACATGATTGAAATTTGGATCTTTGTATGTGTGTGTATATATATATATATATATATATATATATATATAGCTGGTCACTCATATTCGAGGATACCTGTCTACTAGGGTGGCTAGTCAATCCCTATTGCAGACACTTGCTCAGGTGCACTGTCTATTCAACACTCACAGAGCCTACCTGTGGTTTATAATGCAACTATGCTGAGCAGACCTTAGTTACAGTTTCTGGGAAAGAGCATGTTATCTAGTGGGATCAACAATTGGCCACAATGACTTGTGACTTCATGCTAGCACAGCTATTGATGGCCCCCAAGGGTTCTGTCTACCCAATTTCACTCACAAGGCTCACATGGTATGGTTTTCAGGCACTTAAAGTATGGTATCCTTGAATTTGGGTGGCCAACTAATATATATATATATATATATATATATATATATATATATATATATATATATATATAAAAAAATATAAAAAAAAAAGCTAAACTATAGATAGCGATTTGAATCCAGTCGCTTATCATTTAAAGATTTTTGATAATGAAAACTTTAGAATTATATTGTATAAAAGTAGTTATAATTCAGAGCTTCACCAGCAAATATCACAGTTTTAACTTTTGACCTGTGCAATAAAATTGCCTTCATGGTTATCTACTGAAATGTATATTTTTAGCTGTTATATATGTGTCAAATTTTTGCCATTACTCAAAAAGTCTCTAGTGGATTCAGGTTAATGGGGTTGAATACTGTGTACTATTGTTATATTTTTCTTTGTTTTATTGTCTTTCGTAGTAGTCTGTTTTATTTGCCAGACATTCATATCTACTGGAACATTTATCAATGTCTGTCCATATATCTTTTGTCTATAGGAAAAAAGTAAAATGTTGATGAATATTCATGGACTCTAGAAATAATTATAAGATCTTTTGACCTTAAAACTGAAAGTGTGAGGCATTGAAACATTTTTATTTCAATGTATCACAATTTCAATCTTAAATAGTCTAATTCAGTTTAATTTCATAAAATCATAAATATATTATAGCAAGTGATATTTTCATCTTTAAACATTGAGATTAAAATCAATCCTCTTAAAAATCATTAATGATCTTGTCCTTCCATCTGTAATGCCAGTTTACTAATTTGCATATGGAAATTAACAACTCTCTCTAAACTAGCAACTCCTTGGCACTTTGTATCTAAGAATTTTAAAATGATTCTTTCAGGCTCTGATGGTTTTGATATTTTTATATCAGACTCCTTATACATTTAATGAGTAGATAAAAACGCAGTCTGAATTTTTTTGCACTTTGCTTTGTAAGTTGTTAAATGTAACACAAACGTTTTCAGCACCTTTTTTTTTTTTTTGCATAAGATTAAAGAGCTCCTAGAAGGTTTTTTTTTTTTTTTTTTTTTTTTTTTTTTTTGTTTTTTTTTTTAATTGCTTGTGTGTGTATACTGCTTTAGAATTGTTTATATAACATTTGGAAAAATTGTGCCTGAATATAAAATAATTTCTAAAGAAAGATGCAAAACCCACCCCATACAAGTGGAACTTTAAAAAAATTAATAGGTCAACTGTAGTATATTGTTTATAAGCCTTGAGAAAAATTTGGAAGGTAGATAAAGTTTTCCATATGAATTTAAGGAATGGACCTTTGGTTAGAATTTAAACACTTGTCTTTCTATTCTTTTTCTGACACATAAAAATGTCATTTTTGGACAAGATACTCACTGGATTTAGCACAAGAATCCCAAACAGAAAATTTTGGTTAGCTCTTAAAAAAAAACCCAAAAAGACCTTCAACATCTTGTATGTAATTTACTGGGAGTAGGGAAGTTTTTCCCTTATTTTGGAAAAAGGGAAATCTTTAATACTAATTGCTTGAGCTTGTGTAAATGCAATGTTATAATGAACTTATATTTTTCAAATGAATGACATCTTTTCATTTTATTTTTTCTGCAGAGTTTGTATTGTGACTGTTGCTCAAAGTCATTCTCTCTTCACACAAAATCACAAGGTGAAAAATATCAGCTTTCAAGTGTCACAAGATATAAACAGAATGAATAACAAAGTCTCTGGAAAAAGTAAACGTGTAAATATTATAATAATGTTTATTTAGAACATCAATTTTAATTTTTCTTTTTTTTTTTTTCTAATTTAAAAACCTTTGAACATTTTTTTATATTTTATTACACATTTTCTATATATAGACATGGAGAAATAACTGGACTGAAATAATTCCATTACTCTGTAAAATTTGTTTAACGTTTTGAGTAAATGTCATTCTTAAATTTTTATTGAGAATTATAGTGTATTATCATAGACGTTCTTAATAATAACTGATACATTAGAATATATGTATTTTGTTTATTATTCTAGCATTTCATCTACTCTTAATGATATTATTGATCTATGAAGTGATGCTGAAAAATTCTTGGCCTGACTCACTTCCAAAAATTAGACCAAACATCAGGTTTTTGAAAGCTTCTCAGTCAGATTGAGAACTTTTCAGGACCCTCTTGTATATAAATGCATGTGATATAATCTCCAAAATATATAAATGTCTACATCATTTTGATAGAAAATAATTGTTTTAATATTTTGTTTTTCTAATCAGGGAGCTCAATGGTTGGGAGTAAATGCTCCTTTGTGTAAAGTAACCAGTGATGGTGGCAAAATATTCACTTTGGTTAGCTGCGTCAAAGGTCAACTGATTGAAGTTAATGAGGCTTTAATTGAGAATCCTAATTTGATATTGGAAAAGGTAATTACTTTCCTTTATGAGTTTGATTTTATTTTGAGAGAAAAAGACATGCATGCTTCAGTGGCATTGTAACAAAATTGATCTCTTAAAAAATGAGAATAAAATTTGAAAAAAACATTAACTTATATGTAAGATTTATTAGTAAGATTTAAATGTTTTCTTGTTCATTAATAAGTCTGTAATTGTTGAATAGAAATCCAGTAGGCCAAGAAATATCTGAACATTGTGTCTTTTATTTAGTAAATAATAGATAAATATTTTATTTAGGAAAGTAATAGAAGTTGCTACGTAAAATGTTATCTGTATATACTTAACTGGTTTGGTTGTGTTTATATTCCATACATTTATGAAAAGACAGTCAAATGCTCCTCTTGCAGTAAATCAATGCAAATATTTCAAACCTTATTTAAAAAATTCTTTTCCTCTTCAGAAAATTATAGATGGAATTGTGAAAAAAAACTTATGTCAGCTGAAAATCAGAACATGATTTCTAGACAAAAAATGAATAAGCAGTGCAACTGTAGATGTTAATGTTAATTTGTTCAAATGGTTTATTAATATTTGTTAACATTTTTTACATGTTTGTAAAACTGCAACCAATGGAATCAATATGTAAATCAAAACGTTTCCTTTCAAGTTAAAAAAAATTGAAATTCTAATTTTTTCGATTTAAATTGGAATTTATTTCCTTGGACAATTAAGTGCTACATTTTCCAAATAATTTCAGGTGGAAATAAATAAAAAAAAAAAAAAAAAATATATGTAAAACCCCACATATGCTTCTGAATTACTGATTGCTGATTTTATTTTCAATGTTTCAGCCACAGACAGAAGGTTACATTGCAATTGTATTACCTCGACTTGATGAACCTGCCCTTGGGACACACAATTTGTTAACAGAAGAACAATATCAGGAAAAACTTAAAGAAAGGCAAAGTGAAACACAGAATATTTGAAACTTTCATAATTTTATAAATGGACTTTTGAATTTTTTGAAAATGATTGTTTTATCTTTGGATAAACTGAATTAGTTTTTTTATATTCTCCTTTAAGTATTTTTTTTTCTTTTTAAGTTTTACTTTTGAACTTTTTCTTTAATAAATTGTATTATTTGATATAACTGTCATTGTTCAAATAGACATTGCAAAAGAACTATTTTAAGTATTTTTATCTCTGGAAGTAATTTGAATTTTTATTTATAAGATACATAATTATATTTTATTTGAAAGTTTTATTTAAATTTTGATTTCTGCACTAGACATATCAAAAAGACATGATTTTTTTTTTTTTTTTATAACCCTGTTGTAATTTAGTTATATTAGTTGGTGCTATTTTCATATTGTTTTAAAAATCTCTTGAAAGGTTATTCCAGAAAAATTGTGATTTATTTTGTTTTTCTGTTTCTGCTGGGCATTTAAGTGTCTTTTCCTGCAATTAAATTCCATAAAATCAGTTTTGTATTAAAATTTATATTGAATTTAGACTTTTTGTAGCTGTTATTTTATTTTATATTTTTGCTATTGATTCATAATCAATGAATTGGATGACAACTCAAATACTTGGTTTTATAGGAATGAAAGAGTAGGAAAATACTTGTTTGATTATGGAATATACAAGTAAACTTTGTTATAGCCAATTTCTTTTTTCCAGTATTTTGTTAGTAATAACAATGTCAATATAACTAATACAAATTACATTGGATATTTCTCTTGGGTGTTAGCTGGTAACCATGATTTCCTTTCTTGTTGACACCATTAAACTATTTTGCATTACTAATATAGAAATTCTAAATTCTGTATAAAGTTGATTCAAAAGAATCACTGAATGTATCCTCCTTGTATTCTATCAGTGTTGAAGGTGAAATAATATTGATAAAATTATGAGAATCTTGTCTTTTTAGTGCTGCTGCTCACTAGCATCTTATTTATATGATGCTCATGTTTCTATCAAGATGTATTACATCCTAACAGCTATCTTAATAGCATCATAGCCATGTGACACATTACAAAATTATTGCACATCTTCAGCTCTTGCCTTCTGCTAGATTTCAATGAATATTATGTGTATTTTCTACTTTTGATCTGCAACCTGACCTTTTGTGTTTTACATTGATGACTAGTCCTTTTTATGTCATAAAAAAATTATGGCACATTTAATTCTTACTATTATTGAGTTTTCACATTTAAGACTTTATATTTTTCTAATTGTTCTCTGTTCTTTCATGGTGTCAGGTTTTATCAGCTTCTAACTTCATAAGCATTTTGGGACCGTTATTCAGTGCAAGGTAGATATCTCTAGCACTATAAAAAATATATGACATAATAAAATTTTGAAGTACATTTGTTTCTAAGACAAATACAGATTTTTTTTTTAATGTTTGATTAGATTTAGGTTATTGGATACTTGTTTCCTTTACTGTATCTCTTGAAATTGATCTGCAGGTAATGGTTTGGTTTTGAATATTTAATAACCATTTGTCTATAACATGAATTGACAAGAAGGATTTGGTTTCTTAGTGTAACAAAGAATTACCTAGCTCCCTCTAAGATGAAGGCTGGCTGAAGCTTTTCATATAGATGCTTCTGTAATTGAGTTTATATAAACTCAATTACAGAAGCATCCATATGAAAAGCTTCATATAATCCAAGACAGATCGAGGTTAACCTATCTTTAGGAGTTTTCTTTCTTCTCTTTTTTCTTAATGCATTCATTAAATTTTTGTGTAGATTTTTGAATTGAAAAAGAATTGGTATAAAATTTCAGATTCTCTTTATCTTCGAATTCTCTCATTTAAAGTTTTTATTTGTTGTGAATTTATTCACATATGCAAATTTTGTCATCTGTTATCTTTATTCAGGCAGTCTCACCATACACACAAAATTGTCTTTTGAGGATGAAGGCCTTGTTTTGCTCAAGGTATCTATTGCTTATTGGGGCTGAGCCATTCTTTATGCTGCTTCATAGATGCCATTTTTCATTGCCAGTGACAATGCTATAAAGGAAAAACTGTTTATGACTGTATGTTGAGCAATGCTGAACGAGCAAACTGGCTGCAATTGTTGCACACTGATTCTTGTAGTAGTCATTCAATGTGTGTGGCACTCATGAACCGCATTCTGAATGAAGGTGATTTATCACAGTTTTGTGATCAAAATTCTGCCAATTCTTTGGTCGTCTGATGTGGATTTTTATGAAGAAACTGGTTTAATCGCTCCTCATCAAACTCAACTGGTTGACTGGGGTGCTTCCCATTATCCAGCTCAAAATTTCTTTTTTTGAAGTGCAAAAACCAACAAGAAATTGTTGTTCTAAAGCATTGGCCAAATGTTTGGCTTCCTAAAGATTTTTTACTTTCAAAAAATTGTTTACAACTTATTCCCCAACTAAATAAATAGAGAAACATAACCAATATCAAACTGGCAGCTAACTTTTCATTCCCCCCCATTAGAAAAAAATTTAATCTATTGAAATTATTAAAATACTTCAATACGTGGACATACTAGCCAAATACTGCTATTTTGGAATGAAAAAAAAAATAAAATGAAAGACAAAATGATTTCTAGAATTATTAAAATTGGTCCAATTGAAATTAAGATACATTTAAAGATGTAGCTGAAAAGCCATTCTTTTTGCTGGATTTTAAACCAGAAATGAATTTGGAAGGCCTAAATATTTTTTGTTTCAATAAAAGATCATGGATTTGAATGATATGTACTGAATCCCCCCCACCCACCTTATTTTAAAACCATCATCACCATCATGGGCTCTATAACCACATTTAATGTACATGTCTGGTGCTAGTTATGATTTCACAAAATATTTCAACTACCTAACTGACCTTAGATATGTTTTACATTTTATTGTTGGTTAACACCAAACTGTTTTTATGAAAAAGTTAATGTCATCAAGAGGTTAACATTTATTGTATCTTGGAGACTTTTGCTCATATTACCAATGTAAACACAATACTTTTTTTCTTTCTTTTTTTTTTTTACCCGTGACTGGTAAGTCATAAGGAAAAAAATGTAACCACTGGCTAAGAAATTTTCAGTTTGATGTCTATTTTATGTGATTAAGCAAAAAAAATAAATTCTTCAGTTTAGCTAACCTGATAGGTACAAAGTAAGCATCCAGTTTAGTTCTGTGCTTTAAAAAAAATAAATGCTTTGGAGTTTTCAAAAACAAATATGCTAAAAACATGCATTAGTAGCCATATAAAATTTGGTGGCCATTTCTCTAGATTTTCTCAATCTGAAATGACAGACAAAAAAAGATTGTTGAACTTTTGTAAGATAAATTTAATAAAACATTTTGAAGAATGTGTTCTTTGATATAATGCAGTTCATGAGATCAAACTTAGTTGGCAAAATGAGATTAATTTTACTATTGTAGATTTGGTTGTCACAATATTTATTAAAGTTCAGATGAGAAATCAAAACCTTTTACACTAGAATCTGTTTCTTGTTAGTAAAAGCCAGTTTTAGCAAAAGGCCTCTTTTATGAAGCACCCAGTGGTAATGAAACTCACTAGTATTGGCTTGCAAGTTTCATGTACTTAACGCCTTTAACTATGGTAAGTGTTCTTGCAAGATAAATGGATTACATATTCAGTTATTTTCAAGAGAAACTTCAAGCTCATATGGCACAATGGCAAAAAAGAGAGGTTTAAAAGCAATTATTTACTTCATAGTGAAATACAGTTTTTACTATGGGAGGTGAATTTATTAGTGATTTCTCAATTCAACATTCCCTGTTCTCAGTTAATTGAGATCATTCTATTTGTATAATAGGATGTTTCATAACTGATTATAGCCACTATGGTAAGACAATTACAATAAAGCTTCACAGCATAAGGATATAAAAAGTATTGTGATAATCTATTTTGATAGTAAAACTTATTTGATTATACTCAGCTTTTTTTTTTCAAGTTGGAATTGTTTAGATGCTTGTATTCTTACCTGTCTCCTTAGAGAAAAATCCACACAAGATTTGAAATTTTCTTTTCAATGCCATTAGAGAAAATCTAGCAAGTGATTAAAAAACAAAACAAAAAAAAAAAAACAAAGTAATTTTGTTTATGCTTTAGTGTACATATATGTATGTTTGTTTTGTGTTTTCCCAAGAAAATATTCCATGGAGAACTTTTAAGCACTGCATCACAAGCCCAGGATTCGCTCAGTTTGTTTAGTCTTCATAGGGAATTATAACAGGTAAATGCACAAAAACATAATACTGACAGGCTGTACATACTGGAGTTGTTCTTTATATTGAAGAATGCATCAACCAAGTCAAAGTAAAACATGGCTAGAAACAAATTGTATTAACTCAGCTGGGAATCAATGGGTTTGTGAATAATGTTGTATTTGCTTATCACATGTCAGGCTTAGAAGTGATATTACAAAATTAACAAGCAGAGGATGTTTATTTGGCATTTGATAGGTCAAGACAAACAATTTTGTAGTATTTTTCAATAAGTGGTATTTGAACACAATTTCATTTCAAACATGATTGAAATTTATGACATATTCTGAAAAGTGACATTTTAATGAATCTTTCCCTATGATTCATGAATGAATTTGGAACTTTAAATGTTTTTATATTAAAAGTGAAAATGGAAGAAAATTAAATGGATTTTCATCATTTTATTCACTTTCCGGAATGGAAAAAATGTTATACAAACAGCAAAAAAGATAGGTGTCATTTATGGAGATGGTGCTATATCAAGAGTACTGTTCAAAAGTGGTTCACTAGGTTTAGATAGTGGAAATTTTAACCTGGACAATTGAAAATGTTACAGCAAACCTTCAGTCATTGATGATGACCAAATTAAAATGCAGATTAAAATAACCAGTTTACACCACACTGAGATTATCCACATATTTCATATAAGCATTGCAAACTTAAACTTGAAAACTTAAAATTGCTACAATGTTTGAGTGCCTTACGATTTAACAGA